GAGTCAGGGCAGTTCCACCATAGGTGAACTAGGGACTCAAATGCCTCGTGGCATCGTTGACACCGTAAGTCAAGTTTCATTCCCCTTTCCGCCAACCAAGCTGTCGAGGGGTAGCAGTGAGAGATACTAACCAAAGAGTAGAAGCCTGACGCTAACATGGGATAAGCTTAAGTTGCTTCCAACAACGTTTGAGAGAGATTTCAATCTCAAGGGGATCCAGGCTGAGCAGCTGAGACCAGCTATTTCTGGCTATCAGTAGGGGATGTTTGATTGGGGGCATGTGGTCATAACCCATCTTCTGAGTATAACTGTATAACCAAATAAGCACACATTTTCCCCATGAGCCCCTTTGGCTCTCCATTCGCAGGTCCTAGGGTCTAACTTCATGTGTTTGATAGGTTTACCGTCTGCGAATAGAGAGAAAACCGAGACATCAACTGATGAAATTTGTTGAATAACTCTCACCTGCACTAGCCTGGAGCCAGCTTCGGGCTGTGTGTCCTGTTCCGGCGCCCTGGTTAGACCACCAAGGACGATATCCCAGACCTGGAATACTCGTTTTCCATCCTCCAGGAAACTGTTAAGTTTCCATACTCTGGCCACTCTAGTGGCCTCTTCCATGTACCAAGTACCTACTGGGTCGACAAAGATTGAAAAGAGGAGATTTTTCCAGTCGGCCGGAATAGCAGATATAAGAGCTTGCCTTCTTGCTGGTTGATGTTGCAACTGACCCAAAGTCACCTTCATACTTTCCTCAGTTTTTCAGTTCGTAACACTTTAGAGGCTCAGGCCCGGAAGGTCAACATTGGGCCTCGCTCCCCTACAGAACACTCGACATGCTTTTGGACGTGTTCTTGACGGGAGGCATTCACAATGTTGGACACGTCCGAATGGACCTGGCCCGGAAAGCATCCAAATGCATGTAGAGTGTTGTATAGTGGAGTGCGCCCCATAGTACACCTTCAAATGTGAGATGAACATCAACATGAAACAAACATATTATATGAGGCTACCTCCGGAGTCCCGACCCTCCTAGCGTACCCCCTGGAACCAAAGAAAGGGGCAAGACATGGCGAGTCGCCACATCACTCACAAAAATGAGGAAATTTGAAGTGCATATGCACAAAGAACGTGGCAAGATGCAGCTGGTACTATTATTTATAGTCGCAGATGCATCTTCCGACAGTCTGTGTGAAGATGCACTCACCATTTTTTCCCGTTCCCTGGGTACCGTGGCAACTTGGCAAGGCCCACAGTTTCATGGCGCAAAAATGGGCTCTTTCGTCCAAAGAACGGCAGTGATAGAACAAATAAGTGGTGACGTTCCGTATTTCTGCCTTCAGCCAGGATGGATGAACTCAAATATACTGCTGGTGAGAAGAAGATATTGCTTTTTTTCTTTTTTTTTCTTTTTTTCTTTTTTGAAGTTTTTCCTTTTTCTTTTCTTTGTTTTTCAATGACAAAACAATTGACGGTAACTGTTGTTCTGTTTTCACAGGGATAAAGCTGCGTATGAAAACTGGATTCATGGAAGATGTGGCTCACTCACCGAGATGACGGACGCCGTCATTGAGAGACTGGCACCACACAAGGTACAGCACCAGCACACACTCACATCCATTCCGCTCCGCTCCGTTCCTTTCAATTCCGTTCCGTTCCATTCCGTTCCGTTCCTGTTTGGTTTCATTCCGTACCCGTTTGGTTCCGATCTGTTCCGTTCCGTTCCCGTTTGGTTCCATTCTGTTCCATTCCCTTCCTATTTGTATCCACTCCGTACCCGTTTGGTTCCGTTCTGTTCCGTTCCATTCCCGTTTGGTTTCATTCCGTTCAGTTTGGTTTCGTTCTGTTCCGTTCCGTTCCCGTTTGGTTTCATTCCGTTTCTGTTTGGTTCCGTTCTGTTCGTTCCATTCCCGTTTGGTTTCATTTTGTTCCGTTTGGTTCCGTTCTGTTCCGTTCCGTTCCCGTTTGGTTTCATTCCGTTCCGTTTGGTTCCGCTCTATTCCGTTCCGTTCCCGTTTGGTTCGGTTCCATTCCGTTCCGTTCCCATTTGGTTCTGTGGCTGTCCCACTTCATGCAACTCTGTTCCCTTTTTTTTTTTTTTTTTAGGTTGTTTTTCCGGGCGCCCGGGCACCCAACTTGTGCCCGGATACCCGCCCGGGTGCCCGGCCGGGCATTACCCCCGGGGAAAGTTCCGGGCAGCCCCAGCGAAAAAAAAAAAAGAAAAAAAAGAAAAAAAAAGAAAAACGAAAGTAAAAATTTTTCAGAAAAAACATATGTTGTGTAGAATTGCAATACAAACAACTTTTGGTTGAGGGCCACATCAGAATTCCTCACCGAACCAGAGATAAAAAAAGAAAATAAGTTAAATAATATATATATATATATATATATATATATCGTCAAATAAGCACCCGCGGTGCGGGCGG